TTTTTCCAGGGCAGAAACTTTATCACGTGCAAATTAGAATGCACACTGTTTCATAATGCAATGAACATGCAGCCTTCTGCTTAGAATTTAAAAGGGGATTTTGGATATTAGAAAAAAATTACCACTCAAGCTAGGTTCTAGCCATAATATTTAAACTAACATTTAAAACATTTTGAGAGGTGTCACATGGAACAGATTATAATTTGATACCGTATCAAAGCTATTGTACTTTGATATTCGTACAATAATAGTATGGATATGTAGATTAATCAGTTACCTATGAGGATGAGTTTCCTAAGATAACAAGGCTTTTACCAAACACCCAAAGATTGTTATCAACTTTTAATAGAGCTAGAGATTTTTATGTTTAAATATAACTTTTTCTTCTTCAGTATATTAAAAGTTTTTCCCTTGAAAACAGGTCAAAATAACTTTTAACAATGTGAAAAAATAACCTACTTCATTTTATAAATTATAACTCTGCTACTTATTTTTCTCATCTTTAGGGAGGTCCCGACTTTTCACATACTCTGTAGAGATTTAGTTAAGCCCATATGCATTTGTTAATTTTTCTCTTTTTTAAACTTACTTTTTATTTATTCTTTGTGTCTTTCACATCATACATCTTGATCCTATTCATTTCCCGTCCCTTTGTATCCATCCTCTGCCCTTGCATCCTCCTCCTTCCCCCTGCCCCAAATAAAATAAAATAAAATTTAAGAGAAAAAGAAGGAAAAATCCCATCATGGAAGCTGTAGTGTGATACAGTGAGTCACGCAGTAACGTCTTTTATTCATATATTTTTATGTGCAAGTGTTCATTGCAAAGAGTTGTTAGTCTAGTTTTTTGCTTCACTATCAATGCTGGGCCCTCACTGGGGCTCCTCTTGGATATCCTGTTCTTGCCTTGTGTTGTGGAGATGCTGCAGTTTGAGTCGCCAAGATCAGGCCCTTCGTGTGCTCCAGCAGAACATAGATGGGGTGGATGTTGGGGTGGGCCAACTCATAACCCTGGTTCTAGACCTGTGTAGTTGCAGGGTTAGTCAGCCTGCCAGCTCTCCCCCATCTTTACCACCAGGGTGAGCTCTCCAGCACTGCCCTGGCTAGTTCACCCTAGGCAGTAAGCAGCAAGGGGCGGGGCCAGTTCTCCTGCTTTCACAACCTCAGGATTGACTCTCCCACACCTACACCACCAGGGCCAGCTCTACTGTGTTGCTCACTCAAGGTGCAGGGACCTTTCTCCCAAGTATGGCAGCTGGTGAGGGGCAGGGACAGCTCTCCCACTCTATCACCTCAGGGCCAGTTCTCCCACCTGCCATAGGTGGTGAGGGGGAGGGTGTGGGAGGGTGTGGGAGGGTGTGTGAGGGTGTGTGAGGTGAGCATCTGAAGGTGCTGAGTTAATTTGTCTCTTTTAACAAAAGTTCAGATCCTCTACCAGATCTGTAAAACGGGACTTTATTTTAAAATGTTTTTTAAATCTCTTGCCACTGAAAAACTATCATTACATTATAGTAATGTAATAGTATCATTATATTATACATTGTATATAAAAGTATATACATATATATTCTTATATTCTAAGAAATGTTTCCTATATGCTTTAATTTTAAATGTTTTCAGTAATCAAATCTGTCTAGAAAGCTTACCATCTTAGCATCATTCAAGCACGTTCTTAGCTGTCACATAATGAAAGCATGGAGGACTGTCTAAAACCAAGCACTCCTAAATGATTTAGCATGGGAGGTCCTGCTCAAGCAACAGTTACTCACCCTAAAGCATTTAATCACAGGCTGAAGCAGTGGCTTTGGGTATTAAATGGCCTGGGTGGCGCACACTTGTTTGGGAATCTGAAAGTGTTGCTTTGAGGGTCGCTTGACAATCCTTTATCTGGAGTGCATGGGAACCGAGTATTTTGTCCTGAGGTTTTAAGAACTGTGTTATAGTAAATAGTCTCCGTAGTATTGAAAACCCTGATGGAGCTAGGGCAGTGCCTTACAATGAACTATACCACAAGCTTTGTACAGTGTGTGAATGTCCACAGTGAATAGGGCAAACGCGCTTAGTTTACGCTTGCCACTGAACAATTTCATCTCAGGTTGGGTTTGCTCACCATAGCGATAATGAATTAAGCCTTATTTCTAGAAAGCTTTATTATGCAAAGTAGCTCTGCTAGTCAATGGCTGTCGGATCTTTTTTGTGCTCCTGAATCTTAGGCACCCCAAATGCTAAAAGGAGAAGCTGGACCCAGTCAATTGTTTATAAAATTTCCAAATTCTAAATCTGAAAGTCTACTCCATTCTTTGACATAAGAAATACCACAAGTGGATATCAGCCCTCTGTCAGATGTGGGGTTGGTGAAGATCTTTTCCCATTCTGTAGGCTGTCGCTTTGTCTTGTTGACCATGTCCTTTGCTCTACAAAAGCTTCTCAGTTTCAAGAGGTCCCATTGATTGTTTCTCTCAGTGTCTGTGCTACTGGTGTTATATTTGCGAAGTGATCTCCTGTGCCAATATGTTCAAGACTACTTCCTACTTTCTCTTCTATCAGGTTCAGAGTAACTGGATTTATGTTGAGGTCTTTGATCCACTTGGATAGATGAGGAGCCCCCAACTGGATCAGGCCCTTCGGATAAGTGAGACAGTTGATTAGCTTGAACTGTTTGGGAGGCCCCAGGCAGTGAGACCAGGACCTGTCCTCAGTGCATGAGCTGGCTGTTTGGAGCCTGGGGCCTATGCAGGGACACTTTGCTCAGCCTGGGTGAAGGGAGGAGGGGACTGGACATGCTTTGACTGAGTCTACCAGGCTGAGCTGAATCCGCAGGGGAGTCCTTGCCCTGAAGGAGATGGGAATGAGGGGTGAGCTGGGGGAGGGCAGGGCGGGAGGGAGGGGGGAGGACAGGGGAATCCATGGCTGATATGTAAAATTAAATTAAAGTATAAAATAAAATAAAAAAAGAAATACTACAAGTGAATTCATTTTTTTTTTGTAATGCTGAAATTTAACCATCCTTTAGAAGTGTACAATTGTTTTGAAGAGCAAGTAGTAATTATGTCAAAAGATTCAAATTTGTATGACTTCTGTATGGTTGGGCCAAGCTAGATTTCAAGTTCCTGAAAACAAATTGGCTTTTTTCTTACAACATTGATTTCTAGAGGTCATCCTAGGGTGAGATTTTTATACTCATACTTAAAATTTGGGGCTGGTAGGATGGCTCAACAGGTATGGACACTTGTTGTCTAGCCTGATGACCTAAGTTTGATCCTTGGAACTTATGTGGTGGAAGGAGAGAAACTAGTTATCCTCTGATTTCCACATGTGTATCATGGTACACACACGCTCACTAACACACACACACACATCCATGCATCCATGCACATAAGCAAGTAAATAAATAAATAAATAAATGTAAAAATTAAGAAAACTATGTGTAGGTGGCAAGGAACACTGTGTAGTTTGCATGTTTTTCCTTGGCAAACCGGAAGACCAGATTATACAAAACCAGGCCCTCGTAAACCAAAGTGTCTGAAAGGGAAATGAAAGACTCCTTTTGCTTCAGGTCCTGAAGCTTTGAATCTCAAAGCCAAGAAAAAGGAATTCCAAACGTAAAGGGGCCAAGCTGACCACTGAGAGAAAACTAATCCATGAACCAGAGGACTAGTGGGGTCTCCTAGATAGAGGCTTAAGACAGTGTAGTTAGTTGGAAAATGCAGCGAAAACAATAGATGAGGCGTGGGAAGCCCGAGCTAAGAGCCTCATGTAGGTTTGTTGAGGAGACTTGCCTATGTGCACATCTGGTACCTGTGTTAGACAATGAAAAGAAGTACTTGTTTGTCTTTTGGCATGGGATTCTCTTCGCTCTTCCTCCATTTTCTCTGGTCTTGCTTCTTGTTGCTTCTGTCACTGAACTTACCCAAAGGGCCTAAAGGACGCCTCCGTTTGTAGTTTCTGTCTGTAAGCTACTGTTTCAGCACATTAAAGGAAATCGAAAGTAAAGATTGGGAAAGGGGAGCTACTGTGTGCTTAGAAATTATCATCGTTCTGCTGAGTGACTAGAAGACATCCAGAACTTTTTATTCATGTCCTCACATAGAAATTGTTGAACACTTAGTGTACTTTGTGTAAGCACTAGAGGCATATGTCCTTGCTAAATTTTATTGCTGTGATCAAAAGCATGACCAAAGACTGGGAAGGAAGAGGTTGATTTGTCTTGCAGGACTGTAGTCTATCCTCATCTAGGGAACTCAAGGCAGGAACATGGAGACAAGAACTGAGGCCATGGAGGAACACTCTTTACTGGCTTACTCCCCATGGCTTACTCAGCTAGCTTTCTTGTACCACCTAGGACCACCTACCCAGAGGTGACAGCACCCACAGTGAGCTGGGCCCTCCTACATCAGTCACTAACCACAATTTCTCAGCAGAGGTTCCTCTTCCCAAATGACTCCAGCTTGAGTCAAGTTGACAAAAAAAAGAACAAGGATGATATGTATTTATGACTTTCCTTGTTGCTATGATAAACTGTCTCACAAAAGCAGCTCAAGGGTTTGCTTTGGCTCACAGTTTGAGAGATATAATCCATCACGGAGGGAAGGCATGGTGGTCGGAGCGTGAGGCAGGTGTCTGGTCATCTTGTGTCTACAATCAGAAAGCAGACAGAGATGAATGCTGGCACTCACACTCTGCCCTTTCCTTCTTATTCACTGTGGGACTTTGGCCCATGGAATGGTGTCACCCACATGTTTCCTCCTCAGTTAAACTTCTCTGGATAAACTTTCTTACAGATATGTCCAGAGGTGTGTCTCCTAGGTTATTCTAAATTCAACCAAGTCGCCAGCGAAGAGTAACCTTTACAAGCTATAAGTGGGAATACGATGTAGTATGCATGTCTATCGAGGGAGATGAACATCAACTTAGTACTTTTGCAAATGTGAGGACAGACAGGCATTATCACAGAAGAGAGAGAAATAGGATGAGAGAAGTGAGAGGCATTCTCTAATTCAGATGGAGAGGTGTGGCTGTGCCATTCAAGCAGGAGGTGGCTTGATTCTTACAATGACGGTGGAAATGAGCAGCGAGGACGTGGATTTCGGAAGAAGCTTATCGGATAAAATGTGAGTGTGAGCAGAGAGCAGCCTTAGGGAGGAGTGCTGGTGTTATTAAAGCCTTAAAACACAATGTTTGTGGTCAAAGACCCATGAGAAATTACACACTGGAGTTTATAACCTTAGTCACAAAGCTGGTGGGCAATTTACACGTGATATGTTGGCAGGGTTTTCAAAAAGTCACGGACCTTTGCTATTTTCTCCTCCCTTTAAGATTTAGGCTACTGTAAATAGCAGTAGATGTGACTAGCTTCCCCTACTGTATGTGGAACAAAAATTTATGAACTGAGGGTGCTGTAACTCAACCCCATTTAATTAACCTGTCTGCTGTGGAGGTGAGTTTTCCTAGAGAGATGCCTGCTCACTTCAGTGCTGCGCAGATGGGTTCTCAGGAAGCAGGTGGTTCTGAGGCAGATTTGGGGGTGCAAGGTGTTTTTCAGGACCCACACCTATGAAAGAAAGGGGGAGGAGCTGGGAAGGAACAAGTGAAAACGAAGGCAACAGGAAGCTGTGAAGTACCTTTTCCACATGAGAGAGCATCATGTGTTGGGCCAAGCTGGCTTCATAACCTGCGTTATTAGTCAGTGGCCAGGAGCTGTCTGTCCCCAGAATGGTGTGCCTTCAGATGAGGCTGTTCTCTGCAGCCAGTTTCAACACTGAGGGAGGTGACAGCAGAGGCTGCCTGCAGACCGAGTTGCCACAGCGGTAAGTCACTCCTGGAAAAGGTTGGGGACCTGGCTGGGACACATCCACGTTCTCCACACTGTATCACAGTTCATTCTTCAACGAATGTGTTTCTTTCCAGGAATTCAAGACACACGCCCCTCCCTCACTACCAAGTATTTATCACTTGGGGCAATTGCATGAAGGAGGATTTCGGGGGGAGAGAGTAGGGGTGACCAAGAATAAGAATGGCACGGAGGAGGGCCTAGGAAGAAGGGTTAGTCAGTAAAGCGCTTCCACACAAGTACGGGGGACCCAGATAGATCCCTAGTTCTTTAGCAAAGCTTGGTCGGGTTGTGTGTGCTTGATCTCAGTACGGGAAGGCAGAGACAGGCTGATCAGGGGTTGCCAGGCTCCCAGGGGAGACCCTGTTTTGAAAACCATGGAGGTTGGCTCTTGAGAAATGGCACCGAATGTTGACCTCTTGCCACCACTTGCACACACACGTGCACGTGCACGCCCATGTGTGCACCCTCACTAGGTGCACACAGAGATGAGTGTCACAGAAAAATACTCTGGAATATAGAGTTCTGACAGCCACTCCCGGCTCTCACTTTTGAAATGAATTAAGTCAACACATCCTTAAAATATGAGAAAATCAATCTGTGATGTTTAAATGGTCTCTTGTTCTTTGACAGCGACAGAAAACATGAATAAAAGAGATTGGCCATTCATGATGATTCAGAGAAATGACATCTCAGG